TTTTGTTCCAATGCTGCGTCGAGTATGCCATCTTTGAGGGGAATGAAACGATTCTCTCGAGCGAGAGCAATGTGAATCGGAATCAAGCACAGTAGTCCCGCTATCCATTCACCAGCAAGATAAGAATTGACTCGTGGATGATCTCGCCAGCTTATATCCACGAAAGTACATGCATTGATCTCAATCTTTTCCAATAGACCATCGGTTGGCTTCTTCGTCTGATGTTCAAAATTTTTGATCAAGCGCTTGAAATGCGGAAGAAACGGGAAGCAGTGCGGTTCTTCTAGAACAAACGTCAACGAGACCGGGAACTCCGTGATGTGGGAGGACTCTCTGCAAAAATCATGTTAGATGCGTTGTCGGATACATGAAGACATATAATAGTGAACCTTTTAAATGCAGAAACCACCGGAAACTTCGACCAAACTCCCGCGTGGCAATCTATTAGCGAGTTGTGCGTTGTTTTGGTGGTTAGATTAGCCTTTGAATTCCGCGATGTCGAGCGGAAAGAGTACTCCTCGTTTTTGCTGGTTATTTGCAAGTTGAGAGCGTTGATCACATGCCTATTTTCATCCATTGCAAGTAGGAGCGGAAGGCAATGACGGCCAAACGAGACGACACCAAACAACGTGGACGGCACCAGAGATGAATTACCCGAAAGATCCACTACGATACCCCCAGGGTGATGGCCAAAGGATTCCCAATGGAAGGTCCTAAGTTGGTATCCACCGATATTTTTTTCCACAGCAATCAATGCCGATCCATCTGGAGATGCATGTATCGAGATGAAGTCGTCAATTTTCACAATACCCGGTCTTTATCAACGTTAGTATATGAGTGCGCAGTACTATCAAGATGCTAACCTGAACGTCTGTGAGACAAATGAGAAAATACGAATACGACCAGAATCTTCGACGAGACAGATCTCCTCTATATCACCTCCAAAATGTATTGATTGTAACGAAGGGATTCCATCTTGATAAAAATGTGTGATATCTTGTGGACTACCCCGTGCCTGGAGACCAGATAAAGTAGCATCAAAAGCGAACATTTGTAGCGACACTTGAGTCTGATTTTTTTTTGTCAGGTTCGCCAATAAGAAGGGTAATCATATTTCTCATACCTCTGTCACAGTAGCTACAGCCAACAGGCGTCTCTTCTCCTGAACAGCTATCGAGAAGGTTCTACCTCCGTCCTTTCTAAACCGCCGGATGTACTGGAGAGTAGCGAGTCGGGCAATATTTCCTCGATTAGCAATATAGACAAACACATCCCTGGGAGTATCAATTATCACGAGACATTTATTTCCCATCTCTAAGAACTGACAATATCTGCACAAACAGTCAGATGCTCAGCAACTATATCAGGAATTTGAAAACTCACCGAACTCGATCTTCCTCAGCCAGTTCAAAAGGTAGCCATTTATGAAGAATAGGATTGATAGTATGATAAGGATCTTGATCAATGTGTCGTCGATCGTCTTCTGATAACTCGAAAGAGAACAATGTGTACTGCAACGAGCCTACGTGATTCGTGGTTTCGCGGGCGGTAACACAATATCGGAAACCTCCTGGCCCTGATATATTTAATAAACCGTTAATAAATATGCAATACTCAGACAGATGATATATGCCCACCTATCCGCTCGATACTTTCAAAGGTGATACCCGCTCTAGAAGCAAATTGCTGTCACCCAAAAGGATTACGTCATGGATTTGGAACCACATACGGTGTAGGGGCGGGAACTAGCGCGCTTTTTAAAGACTCCAAGAAAGGAGTGAAAACCTGCGAGATTTCTTTCGATTCCCAGCTCTCTGCTTCGACACGGGCGTACGTGGCCTGCTCTCTCGAGATCAGTTTTTCGAACTGAGAGAACAAACTATCTGCAACTCGATGAGTATGCTTCTTCAATCCTTCTTGACATAAAGAAAGGAGATTGTTTTTGATTAAAGAGAGACTATCTCCCTCAAGAACAGGTGAGAGTGATGAGATGAAGGCCGGGTCCTTAGGCCCTGTCGAATGAGCGTTCGAGACATCGAGATGCCCTAGCTTGTTGGGTAGGGCCGGTAAGATGGAGGCCAATCTTTTCACAACTTCACCTGGCTTTCTCGTAAACCAGGCTTTTGCGGCCGACACCGGTGTTGATCTACCCGTACTGCCTTCGTCCGCTTCAAGAAACTTGCGGATCAGCGCATCCCGATCGGCGCCTTCACTAACCTCCAAAGCCTTTACAAGCGTCAGATAAGCCGACTTAGCGTCCTGGAACTCTCGAAAGGGGATAATCTCGAGCGAAGCTTCGTTGAAAACACGATTCTGGATTTCCGCCAGACCGTCGTACATAGCTAACAAGCTCCGGAAATAATCTATCGTCTCGTGTTAGTGTTACCACCACTGAATTTCTCTCGTACGCACCATCTTCATCAGAGACCGAGAGGTGGTAGGCGGAGAGGTCTATAGTCCTGCAGGATTTGGTATATCGAATTTCATCTCCGATCTAGATTAAGATTAAATTACTAACGGATATATCTCTCTAAGTTTGGTGATGACCAGCGCCCGACAACCCGCAACTAGTTGAGTCCTTTTCTGAGTAAGTTCATTCTTCATTGATTTGAGAGTTGAGTCCGCCGTCTGCCTAGTCAATCCTCTGACAGTAGCTAGACGATCCTCGTGATCTTCAATCAGCGCACGTGCACGCTTACGCACGGGACTTTGCTGGGTGAGAATATACACAGCATCGCGGGTCAAGGTTGGAGCGAGAAATATATTTCGATGCCGGTCACTGTGGATACCAAGTTAGAACAGGTGATCGACTGAATTGAGATACAGAGAGATACTTGCATTTCCTCCGCTAATTTCAACGTTGTCCATTCTGAGTTGCGATGGAAATTCGTTTTAAGTCCTGGAGGGATGTGATGCATGCTAGCGAATCCAAAGCAACCCTCTCCATTCACGAAGGTCGGCGCGGTTTCGGCACTTTTAGAGTCGTCATGGTTGTCCGTCACCGTGCTAGGCCGAGACCGTGATTTAATAGAGCTATGATGGACCTGAAATACTCAAACAGTGTCTCAAAGCAGCCAACTAAAAGAAACAATGCAAGTTACCTCAAATCCCGGGTGAATAACAACTCCTTCTTCTTGATCCTTTGTTTTCGAAACCTCGAACTTGAAGAAACGTTCAAGATGGTCAGTTCCATCATCCAGATCCTTGGCTGGTTCTGGTTCCTCGCTCGCGCTGATAAGCTTCGAAGCGTGATCGGGAGACATAAGCGCACAAGTTTGATCCACTAAACGCGTCAAATATCGCATGAACGTGGTTCGGTTACGGCGAACGGAGTCAGTGGCCCCATCATCCCATGTGGTATCTTCTGGCCAATAAACGACATAAGAGGTGCGGTTAGAGGAGGAGGAATTGAGATTCAGGTAATATAATCCTGATCGGAGCCACGGCTGTTTGAGAGAGTGCTCTTCTCGAGGCTGAAGTAGATGCTGCGCCCTAAAAGCGGCCCACGTAAGGAGAGCAATAAACTAGGTAGGCTCGACTTACGTGATCGAATCCACACACTCTAGCTGCTGCAGTAGCCTGACAATCTCTGACTTGCTCCCATAGACACCGATGGGTTGGATCGAAATTTTGTCAAGGCTTTTGAAATTAATCTTTGATAGTGATGAATACGCTCGAGGCGACAAGGTGTTTATCAACGCGCCCAATGATTCATGAGCAATGATGATCTTCTCAACTAGCCAGCAAGTGGTTTAATAGAATGCACAACAAGCTAGGAAGCGCGGTATACTAACCTAATCCACTGGTTGATGATTCGCTATATAGGAATAGCAATCTATGTAGTCCTTTGACGCTGTGGAGAAGATCCAGGTCGTCTTTATCCCTTTCCCTTGGTTGGCTTCCGTTGTGATAAGAGGGTAATTGAGGCAAGGTTCGACTTGATTCTTCCCCGAAACCGACCATACTGAGGTTTAGCTGGAATAGGGAAGCGAATGCACATCAGTTCTTTCTCAAATCAGTAGCAATGGCGACGCACAAGAAGGGGATATGAATAGAGAACCGAAGTGATCTTGAAGAGCGATTAGACCATTAAATACCGACCTGATAGCGATAAAGGCGGAGATCAACCTTGATAAACGCAACTAGTGTCAAATGTGTACGGTCCTTAAACTGGCTAGATCCCAACCAGATCCAGCCGCTTGGCGGAGGTTCAATTGGGCGGCACCTGCCCCAACAAGAATGAGAATTCCCACAGCATTGTTGCAGTATGATGAGGTTGGTCTATACAATTGCGGTAAGAATGCATGTCTTCGTCCTAGTTTGTTGTGGGCATGTATGATGCTACTCGTAGCAAGTTCGTAGATCTGGATTACAGAATATTTGAAGCTGAGCGCAGATATTTTACTCTCCGCCTGAAATTCATTATGACGGCTTTGCCTCTCCTTCGTTAGCTACGTGGAACGTTTTATATAATGTTGCAGTGCTGAGACGTTTGTTATGTCATCGTCTTCGAAGGGTGAAGAGTGTAACTCGTAAAATAATTTTGCAGGCGGAACCAAAAGTTGCTGGAATTGGTCAGAGGTAGTCATTTGCCAGGTATGAAAGGCACTGATCATATGTTTCGGCATGACCTTGGTCATATATTCTATCTTGATGTTAGTATTGAGTACCATTTACGTCTTACTAGACGTCAAACAATTCCAGAGACGTCGTAGGTCATAAGCTAATGTTGTCCACATGCGTAGGACGGAGACCAACAGCTCCTCATCAACTTTGATCAAACGACTTGAAACCGACGTCAATAGCGACAACGTTTTCGAAGAGGTCGCATCGCCCGATTAAAAAAATGAAAATGAACCGCGCCAGGTCAGTGGATCTATTGATGGATTAGCACAATAAGATGAACTTGAATGCGCACTTGCGTCGAAACTCGCCGCGGCCAGTCTCCTAGAGAAGGAACAATCAACCGATAAGTTTTTGCGATTGACTTTTACCTGGATGGTTCTTTGGTGTAGTGGTTATCACGTATCCTTCACAAGGTCTCCCATGCCACTTGTACAGGCATTGTTCGATGGCTGTTCGAGCGGCGTGAGGGACTGTCCCCGGATAAGGCCGCCGGTTCGACCCCGGCAAGGATCAGCTTTTTGTTGGGATTGAGTATATTGTGACGAAGATGTCCTTTTTATCTAACCTAGCAGTCATGCGATATGTCATTCAGCACACTAAGAACGTAGAACATAGATAAAGTACATTGGAATATAACTTAAGATCGCTCTTTTCGCCTCTTTTTCTTCTTCTTTTCTGATCCTGCGTTGTCTACACCTACATCATCATCAACATCATCCATCTTCCGCTTCTTTTTCTTTTTCTTCTCCTTGATAGTCTCTGTTATGCCATCTATGGAAGATTCTCGAGTACCATCGTCCTTATCCCTCTTTGACCTTTTCTTCGTCTCCTCCATCCTTGACGGAACCTGGGTTTCGTCAAGATCATCGCTGGAACACTTCTGAGATACAGATGCTTTAGCACCTAAGCCTATTCTAGGGCGATCATCACCGTCTTCAGGGAGAACTGGGGATAAGGACAGAGGAGATGAAGCCATGGTTATAGAGCCAGATTTCTGCCCCAACTTAGCGAGCATCTTTTGTTTGAAGTAGTCTGCAACGCTGACGGTGGATGTCTTAATTACACCGTCATCCTCACTTGGTTTATCAGTAATTGGAGTCAAGGAACCTGATGTAGGTGTGGCTGGTGTTGGAGCAGGAGAAGCAGAAGCAGAATGTCCCAATACTTCTGCTAGAGCGGCAGGAGAGCTCTTCGCTAAGCGCTTAGAAGCATGGAATTTAGCTCGGTGACTGGTTTACGATGAATGTATTAGTCTAGGTGCTAAACATGTGCAATATCGACTCACGCCATTCGTTGGGGTTTAGGCAACTTGGTTGCTTCGGTATCGGGAGTATCCGCTGAGTCGGATGATGTGTCTTCAGGTGATTGTAGTGAGGAGGCTGACGCACTCTCGGCCTTTCGTTTGTCCTTCTTCTTGGATTTCCGATCGGATCCTTTACTCGCTTTCTGACCCTTATCGTCCGAGTCCAAGGAAGCCACCTTCTCTTCTTGCTCAACCTCTTCTTTATCGACCTGAACTTGATTGAGACGCTCTAATACGCTCTCAAAGTCTTTGTTCTGTTTCCAGGCAATCGCATCAGATCCAGAGGCAGGATTGGCACCAATTCCGAGCATGTTCAGCTTCTGAGTAGCGACGATGTGTGATGTACGACCTTCTCCAGAGACTCCAAGTCCCTTAGATGGGTTCCATCCCAGTTTGGAGAGATATGCATGTCCAAACTTCGCAGCATCTGCGAATATGATTAAATGTAGATCAGAGTATACAGAACTCTGGTTACTCACTATCAGCCCAGGTCAAGTTCCTTGGATCATTCCCAATCCTTTGCTTGACTCTTCTTTCAGACAAGCCCATCCTCAGATAGGGCTATAAGGAAATAATAGGTGACCAAAGCGCAGGGTTAGTTGGCTTCAAAATTGTGTAGATAGATTGGCTTGACGCTGTTTGCTTTCAGGTTCGTTACTCCCACATGATGTCAGTGTTTCTACTTTTATCTCTTAGGTTCGGATTCCACCACGAGGGTCGCAGTCGTGAAAACCTTTCTTTCGTTTCACAACTCCACGACTACGGTACATCCCTATGAGCGGTGTACGCAGGAGGAAGACTCAGCCCAAACGACGGGTTGTTGAAACTGGCATTCAAACAGATGATGAAGATGGTGGCAAGGTTGTCACCAAAGAGCCGCCCAGAAGCAATGATCCCAACAAGGTTAGTTGGCACCCCACGCTTTGAGCTCTCTGGCTGGACTGCCTCTAGTTTTTCCGTGTTCTCCCGAGCTTAATCAACGTCCTGGTTTAGGGCAGCGTATTCGTCTCGCGACGGGTTCTGTTTCCTTTAGGTCTCTTCCGTGAGTTTTCTCATCAGCGACCGCTTGACAACTCTGAATCTCCCCTATGTAGTTGGGGTCGCATTCACTTACTTCATTGCACCTCCTATACCGCCACATATCGCTATGATGTTGGAGGAATATGATCTTTCATTTCCCTCTTTGGCAAATATGAACATGTCATTCCCTGGTTTCGAGGTCGAATGGCGTCAAATTACGGACAACTTCTTCGATAGCGCCAAAAAGTGGACCCAAAACCGGGATTTCAGTGTTGGGTCGAAGTTGAAGGCTGAGGGCTTAGAGGCGAAGCATCCGGTTGTTTTGATACCCGGTATTATCTCGACGGTGCGACCCTAAATTTGATCATCAGTGCATTGCGCCACCTAATTTCGCTTAACTGGTAGGGCTTGGAATCTTGGTCCACATCACCAGAGTACCGACCGTACTTCCGTAAGCGGCTTTGGGGAACAACTACTATGATACGGGCGGTGCTTTCGGAACGTGAGCGATGGATGGCGGCGATGTTGCTCGATCCAGAGACGGGCTTGGACCCTCCAGGGGTGAAAGTACGGGCCGCCCAGGGGTTAGATGCTGGTAAGCTTGAAGTCACTTTCTTCTGTATTACCGTTTGCCAATGTCTACTTTGACCATAGCATCGTCGTTTATACCCGGTTATTGGATATGGAGTAAAGTTATTGAAAATCTTGCTTGCATAAATTATGACACGAACAACATGGAACTGGCCTCTTATGATTGGCGATTGACATATTATAATTTGGAGGTACGGGATGGCTATTTCTCCAGGTATGTGCCATCCGTCTTGCGTGACTTCACAGGGATATAACATATCGGGCGGATTCAGGCTGAAAGCAACCATAGAATCGTTCAAGTACGAAAGTGCATCAATTCGAAAATTCTTATATTGACCTTTATGACAGGAAGAGAGAAGGACGCAAGGTGGTGGTGGTCTCGTATGTTCATTGAGTGTATTATTCACGTATGAATAAGAGCTGACTCCGATAATGCTAGTCATTCTATGGGATCTACGGTACGACTCTAGTCAAGCTATGCCACTGGTGGTTCTGACATTGTCGATCTCACCATTTTACACAGGTTGTACTGGTAAGTCCTTAACCACACCATGTTGTATTTTACAAACTGACCTTGCTTCTAGTATTTGTGAGTGACAGACTGGATCTTCTGGAAAATAAAATGCTGATCAATTAATAGTTTAAAATGGGTAGAAGCCGCTGGATATGGCGATGGTGGTCCCAACTGGGTCGAAAACCATATTGACTCACTCGTCAGCATTGGTGAGACCGCATCTTCCTCGCTTGGATAATTGTACTAAAGACAAACACTTTATTAGGGGGAACATTCTTAGGTGTAGTAAGTGGCGGGTTCCAAGGCGGAATCCCTCTCTGACAACCCGTTCAGTCCAAAGCTGTACCTGCGCTTTTGTCGGGAGAAATGAAAGATACGGTGGAGATAAGTCCAGCTGGAGCATATGGTGATGTGCGATTAGTTGCGTAGCTGAGTGATGGACTGACGAATCGCATATCTTGACAGTACTCGAAAGGTTTTTCTCAAGGTCTGACAGGGCTAAACTGATGCGATCGTAAGTGTCCGTAATATTGATGTGTGTCTCATGAACCTAAGTTTGCACCTCTACCTAGATGGGGCGGAGGGTGAGTGTAGGATCAGACTATATCGGTTCGCATCTGGTCGGCTCAATCATATCCTCCTCAAGATCCTCTCTCTGGCCAAAGGCAAGGAATGCCCAGATGATGGTTGCGGCAGTGTACTGACAGCATTCATAGGGTGGTAATGATGTATGGGGCGATAAATCCGGAGCTCCCGATGATAAGGAATCACAAAAGCAAACTAATGGATACATGATATCTTTCCGAGCGGCAACGTCTCCGACATCTGCAACATCTATTCCACCGGGAGATCATGAAGCATCTACAGCTACCTCTCACCACGCAACCCATCCTACTTTACTGCCAATTGACATCGAGTCTGCTGAAAGGAACAAACACTCGGATGACGAGGTGGATACTGAAAATTCTGATCCGCTAGATGCACCCATCCCTGCAGTCGAAACTTCTCCTGGAGTAGGTAACTTGACCCTGAACGACGCGGAGAGTTGGATTTGGCAACATACACCCAATTCGTTCCAAAGGATGATGTATACAAATTACTCGAATGGAATTGAAAGAGATGAAGAACAGCTGAAGAAAAATAACTTGGATCATCGAAAATGGGTGAACCCACTAGAGATTCAGTGCGTTATTGCTCTTTGGGATAATACTGCCGTCCCATCGCTTGTCGCTCATCAAACTCTTACCAGGTTACCCAATGCACCCAGCATGAAGATTTACTGCCTATACGGACACGGCAAGGAGACAGAAAGATCGTACTGGTAAGAACACCGTTACTCATATCAGCTGACATATGAGCTCAAAAGACATTTTCTACTGTAGGTACGCTAGAGGCGAATACGAACACGACGATAGCTCCAGCGATGCCATGTCGGCCGTCTGTCAAAATAGTACATCATGTGACGGCAAGGGTATGTCTCCCAGAGCTCCGTTGGATATGCCATTATCAAGACAAAGCTGGATTGACACCGCTGTTAATGATGCATCCGAGAATCCAGTCAGTGATCTCACCTGCCATTCCTTGTGCGGTGTTGTATCTGATCTCTTTATCAGGTTCGGAATGGCGTCAAGATAGGGGAAGGTGATGGGACAGTGCCATTAATTAGTCTGGGTGCCATGTGTGTTGAAGGATGGAAAAGGAAGCTTTATAATCCTGCCGGTATTGAAGTCAAGACATACGAGGTGAGCTCAAGGGGATTCTTACTTCTACGATTCCGACTGAGCGATCACTTTTCTAGATGGCACATCAGCCAGAAGGACTTGACATGCGGGGTGGAGCTACAACATCTGATCACATCGATATACTGGGAAGCACAGCACTCAACGAGATTGTCCTCAAAGTTGCTGCTGGGCGTGGTGCTGAGGTTCAAGAGAGATTCGTTTCTGTAAGTCCGAGGATTGCTTTACTTTGGGATTCACTCGGACTTATCTTGATTCACTCAGGACATCCACAAATATGCCAAGAAGATTAAGTGGGATGGATGATTACCATGTTATTCACTCTATGTTTTTTGACGACCCTTCAAAACGTAGAACACGTACATTTGTTTCTTTTTTGTTGTATAAAAAGAACGGTGAAACTACATCACTAGCGAACAGAAAGAAGTGGGAAAAAAAGAATATAGTCCACTTAGTCATCTATCATACCCATAATATCATCTCCTTCACCACCCAACGCTCTGCGAATATAGTCTCTCCTCCAACCCGTCAACAATCTCTGTCTGGCATGTTTCTCTTTCGCCTCTGCCTCTAAGTTTCTAGGTGCATTAGCAGCAGGAGTTTGTTCCTCTCGCTGTTGTTGAGCATCTCCATTCTCGCCTTCAGCTGGTTGAGGAGCAGGTTCTTGGACAGGTTCAGGTTCCTCCGGTGGCTCATCACCTCTCCATTCACGACCGTAAACTTCCCTAATTCTTCCCTCCCTTATCCTCAACAAACTCAACCGTCTTGCCCACACAGCTGGGAACATCGAATATACAAACATCGCAATGAACACCTTCATCCTCTCCGCCCAAGTAGGATCAACCAAGTCTTGAGGCGGAACAGATGCTGGACCCACTTGAGGTTGTTGATCGGGGTTGGTGGTGGTGGTGGTGTTTGCAGTGTTATCATTTATTCCTAGTTGTCTGTGTTCCCATGAAAGATGATAAATAGCGAGAATGTCGAATAGAGCAGCGAAACGTCCCCGAGGTTGACGATTCGGTAAAGGAGCTGGACCCGCTGCAGGAGCGGGTGCAGGTGCAGGAGCATTTGGAGCGGCGGCAGCAGGTTGAGCTCCATCTTGACCAGCTTGAGGTTGGGCAGGATTAGCTGGAGCGTTTCCCTGTGCTGCAGCTGGTTGATGTGCTGCTGCTGCGTTGAGATCCTCGTTACGGAGTGCAGCAGCTCTGACGAATCTCTCGCCTTCCCTCAACCCAATCTTGTAAATCTCCCACAACGCCCACGCTACTACGCATAGGAACCATCCGAGGTGCTTGTCTGGAGTGCAATCAAGCAGATACACCATAAACACTGCTCTAGCCAGGATTAGAATAATAGGAATGAGCACCCTTGTTGGATGGGCGATTAGGTAAATTAGAATAGTTAAGACTTGGTGAGTGAAAGTGAGACGAAGGGGGAGACGCGGTTGACCAGCAACTTGACGTTGTCTAATGACGGCTTGCCAAACAAGGGGTCGTTGATTGATGTCTTGTTGAGGTTGGTTTGGAAGTGGAACAGGGTTGAGACCAACGGGAGATGTTCCCGAGGTTCCCGGTCTTCGACGGTTGACAACATTCTGGATCGATTGAAGAACGGACATTGTCGGGTTGCTGAATGGAGGAAGTGTCGGAAGAACTGGGAGAAGTGGATATGTATAGCTGAGAGTTTCTAGAGCACGGAGCTGGATTGCTGTGGGAGATCCCGACTCTCCTTCTACGAGAGAAAGGTAGGGGAGGTTGCTGTTTTCGCCGCAATCAGACACCATGCAAAAGACCAGGAATATCTTGGACTCACTTGACGACCTGCCACGCATACGTCACTCCAGGTTCTTTAGACGAAGGATCGTTGGCGAACTTGACGTATATGTCGTCATCAAGGATTCTGTTTGGAGGCCAACCAATATTCGCGCCCACTAAAACAGCCTTTGTCAGGTTTCTAGCACTGCGGTATTCGCCGGGACCAAGCCAAGGTTGAAGGGGTGTTTTTGAGAGTATCCGAATAGCATTAGTGTGTTGATGGAGAATAAGTTGCTGAGGAAGATGCACGGATGAGGTGATTTGTAAGAGATGTGGATTTGTTGGTAACGAATGTAAAGGTAGCGAAGCCGTAAGTGGTGGAGAGGTTGTTGTGGATGATGTCTGTGAAGGCGGAGGAGTTGCCCATGCGGCTGGATGGACAGCGACATGCAACGTGTGCTTGATGTCTGCGGGCTTTTTTGTACTGTCAACGTGGAGTGTTGCTTGACAAACGATGATGTTCTCACCTTTAACAACTCTCCAACAACTTCATTATCAAGCAAAACGCGTCCCTTGTATATAACACGCTGTCCAGACGGTAAAGGTCTTCCAGTGCAGTTATCCCGTATCAATTGCTTGAGGTCCGCAATAGTCGACGAAGGATTGACAGACAATGAGAAAGAGATTGACTGAGCATCTAATACCACGTTGATATCCATGTTTCCTTCCGGGGATGCATGAGACAGCGGCAAAGAGCTCATTCGTGCTACGGGCGTAGACGGTCCACTCATCCTTTGCGTTAAAGCCGATGGTCGAGATTGTAAGGGAAAATGTAGAGCGACGTGTTCGGGCGTGGCAGTTCACAACAAGTCACGTGGTTCTACAAGCTGCTATCCATAAAGACACACCTTCAACAGGTCTCCAACGGCGCCATACCCAAGTGGTTACGGGGACAGATTAGAATTTGTCTAACAAAATATCTGTTAGTCTTTGACTGCGCAGGTTCAAATCCTGCTGGCGTCGGTTCTCTTTTGCACTTTTTTGCCTCGAGGCCTTTTTCCCACTCATGTCACTCGTATGAATTTTTAAATAAATATCCAATGCTACCCCATATGGTAAACGTATAAATAGTGCAGTAATCAAAAAGCAGTATTTACAGACGTAAAAAAGCGAATAATAGCGAAAAAGTCGTATAGTCTAAAAGTTAGTCGGTAGCGCATCCAAATGTCTCATCTTTCCAGCCAACTTCTGCAACCCCCTCAGACTATCCTCGTCATCTCCAAGTCCAGCTGCTGTAGATGGTCCTCTAGCTTTGATCTTCTCAAATTCGTATGTGAGAAGGTGCTTCTGCGTCTCTGAAAGACCTCCAATCAGAGCAAACACTTGGGTTTCGTCTCTGAGTTTGATTTGAGAAGCGATGATGACTACGTAGGCTGCCTCTCGAACCGTGGAGGATGTTTGATCACCAAGGGCCTGTGAAAGAAGGTCAGCGTCACTTTACTTCTATGAGTTCACAGAAACGCAACCCACCTTAATCAAAAGTCCTTTAATCCTGGGCAACTGGTCCTCCAACACCTCGGGAGGAAGCATCAAGATAAACTTGGCGATTGCGACAAGACCAAAGCAATATGAACTCGTCTTGGCATCTACAAGCGATGAATCCGGGGGTGGTTTCTTCAAGAAATCTTCGAGGTTGCGATGAATAGTAGTAAGGCCGAAGACCGGATCGCTTCGTTCAATCAGCGCATCTCGCACTCCACTAGTGGCTTCATAGACCTTGATTGCGAGACGTTAATATCATCTCGACAACATTCAATTAAGCATGCTTACGTTTTGCCTTGCGACATACCGTATGTCGAGCAAGAACGAGAACACCGTTCTCTCATGACCGGTACAGAACGCATTCTGACGCTGAACCATCTCCATCAATAGAATCAATCCATAATCAAGGATCTCAAGAGACTACAACTCCAATCAGTCATCCCTTCCTAAACAACAAAACACAAAATTCATACCTTGTCAGCATCCAAGTATGCCAAAAGCGAGTCCAACAACTGATCAAACAACCTTCCTCCATCCCAAATATCTCCCCCTCCACCATCAGCTTCCGCACCAAAATCAGCTTTCCCAAACGGAGATGGCGATAAAGGAGTCAACATTCCACTTTCCGGTAATGGAGACGATGGAGGTGATGAACAAGGGTTGTTCGCGCATATCCTGATTAATCGTTTCAGAGCATGAACGTCGGCGGTTCCATTTTGAAGTGAGGTAATCAAAGATCGAAGACTATCAGATGTCTCAGGTTCTGTATCAGTCCTTTGACTATCAACCTCAAAGACTGCAACGAAGTCATCAGTCAAATCAGTCAAACAAGGGTGAAATCGGGGGATACTCACATCTCCTTCGTGTCCTCCACCACACACCGGTCTTGTCATTCTTCTCAAACAAGGCTTTCGCCAAGGAAGGTGACCTTTCCGGCGCAGGACTGTTCTCAAACGCATTAACCTCCTTCATCAAGGCCCAACTCTTCGGTTTCGGGGTGACGGGTTTTTGTTTCAACACCTCCGCAACCTTGACAGCACTAACCGGCTCCGGTTTTCCATTGGACACAGGGGCAACATCCGGTTGCATGATATCAATCGCGGGTGGCATATCCTCATCCACCATCTCCAACAACTGTGCAGCCGCACTTTCCGCCTGTTGAGCCTGTGCTCTATACGCATCATGGATAACCGAATCCGGAACAGCAGGTTTCAACTGTTCTCCCGTCATCTTCTCATAAGCCGACGAAAAACTCATCAAATTCATCTCCTGATCTCCATCTTCATCCTCCTCCGGTAATGGACAATTCATGGCACTGATGAGTTCTCCATCATCAATCAATGAATCAAATTGCATTGATGATTCGTGGAGAAGAGAGGGTCCATATTGACTTGTGAGCATCAGGGGTCTTAAACTTGATGACAGTCCTGGAGACTGACTCCGAGACCCGCCAAGAGGGGGTCGGACCCTTGCAACCAATGGCGACGAAGCTTTTCTTTTCTGGGAAGCAGACGAGCCTGGGGGAGGGGAAGTAGGTGGTGGAGACGCAGATACTGCTCGGGTCACCCTTGGGACGGGTGTCCGTACAGGTGACTTGTCTCGGTTCAGTACTCCATTCGAGGACGAAGTGGATGACACCGATCTGTGCATCCCCGAACTCCTTCCAAGAGTAGATGATGTGGATCTCGCCAACGGAGACATAGCTCCTGTTGGTCTAGGGGATGGCGAGCTCGGAGATGTAGGACGTTGAGATATCACAGGTGAAGTTGCTCTTCGGAGATTAGCAGCAGGAGAAGTGGGTCTTCTGGGAGGCGATCCAGATTTATCTCCTCCTCCTCCACCAGCAGCAGCAACTGCAGCCGTATGGGCACCCGATGTAGCAGCATGTCTCAGAGTCGGTGGTGCATTGGCGATAACCTTGGCTTTCGCTCGAGATGCAGCAATCGCAGCAGCAATCGAGCTCTTTTTGGGATTCGAGGTGGTGGCCTCCGAGGTTGTTGCGCTGCTTCCAGGATTCGGATTTGCCTTTTCCAACTGTTTCCGTCCGTTAGCGTCCAAAGTGCCCATAATAGCCTGAGCCTGCGCGGGCCATATCCCATCAAACGACCAAAAACACTCCCTCACTTTCTCCCTCGCTCCAGGATTCGGATCCGCCAACCCCTTTCGTACCATCTTATCAAGCATATCCAAATGTCCCGTACTCTCTATCACATGTTTACATCTCTGTCCATGTACATTGAGAATCGTGGTGATATGCATAGCAACATGAGTTCTTGTTTGCACGTTCTTTTCGGTTTGGAACATTGTAGTGAGGAAAGGAAGGACGAGTCGAGGTTGGAGTGTGGTGTGTGTAAGAATGGTAGTGACGGCCAGTTGAGTTTGTTGAACGATGATACGTTTTGTGAATCCGGCCATTTTAACGAGTGGTTGAAAAACGATTTCTACCAGATGGTCGAAAGATGTACCCATTCCAAGAGCGAGATCGGTGTATAAATTAGCTGCAGTGGAAGCCAAGGTTGTACGAAGACTGGCGAGCTGCAAGGCGCATTAGTCTCAGATTGTGATTAGTACTGGGTTTTGGCATACCGCTTTTAGTGTCTTTTCGAGGACTCCACCCTTGAGGCCAGTATAGAACGCATCGGGATAACGAAGGTGTACTTC